CTCCAGGACTATGATCTATTGGACTTTCACTGCCTACCTGCATGTACCCATCCACCTTGGCCCCACGTTTTCCTTCCATAAACCTGGAAGTGTTTCTCAGCCCTTTGGAGACCATCATTGAGAGGTTCGGTCATGGTCTTCTCTGTGTTGGGCTCCCTGAGATTCCTTTCTTGTTTACCACCACTGCTTTCTCTGACTTTGGATTTTGTCACCAGGGAGTGGCCAAACCTAGTCTGTTTGGGAACCCCAGGCTAGGTGCTCAAGTCATAATTTGTTTTTGGGTTTTTTTTAAAAAATATTTATTTGAGAGAGAGAGAGAGAGCACAAGCAGGGGGAGGGCCAGTGGAAGAGGGAGAAGTAAACTCCCGACTAAGCAGGGAGCCCAAAGCAGGGCTCAATCCCAGGACACCAAGATTGTGACCCGAGCCTAAGGGCTTAACTGACTGAGCCATTCAGGCGCCCCAAAGTCGTAATTTGTTGAAAAATCTGCACCTGAGGTTTTTTTTTTTTTCCCCTTAAGATAACTGTGGACAACCTAATCCGCTGAGTGTAGTCCAGACTTCTACACCCATCAGCACCAGAGAGGTAATGATAATGCTGGTGGGAAGAATGGAGAACTCACCTGTGGACTGTGCTGTGTCCTTAAGGGGCAAGAATGGCCAGAGCTCTGGGCAGGGCACTGCCTTAAGGACTGATGGTGGGAACTTCCTCTCCAGTGAAGTACAGGTACTTAACGCAGAGGGTTCTTCCAACAACTTCCAAGTGACTCCTCTGTTTCGGCCCTGCCCTCCCACCAGGCACCAGGGCCCCCTGCAGGCCCCTTCCTGGTATGTCCTCTGAAATGAGACCCTGATCCCACATATGTGTGTCTATGTGTGGGGGGGTAAGGCCTCCACAGGTTGCCACACACCTGACCCAGGGACCCTCTTCCTTCTGGTAGGGACCCTCCTTCGGGTGAAGAGGGAGGCCTGGACTGACTCTTGATCTTCTGGGCAAGGCCCCAAACAGGAGGGAATCCCCGTCTTTTCTGGGAGAGGCCACGCCCCACCTGGCTCCCAGTCCTTCCTGGCCAGGGGAAGGCCGGAAGTGGCCCAGTGACCCATCACCTCCCTGGGCCCAGCGGACTTCCTCTGAGACAGCTGCCTGGGAACACAGCCCAGAGCGGTGGTGAGATGCTCAGATGAATGTCGACTCTTTCGGGACCAGCAGTCAACTATTACAGAAAGAGAAGAAATTAAATCACTTGGAGGCTGGCGTCCCACGGTGAGAATTTCTCCCAGTGTACTGGGTGGAATCGGAGGAAGTGACTCTGACCTGAGTGGGTGTACATGACAACTTTGTCACTACTAACGTGAGACCAGCCAAATTCTCAGTCACCAGTCAGGGTGTTCAGGGACGTCCCTCCCCTCTGGCCTGTCAGGATTAAGGTCCCCTGCCTGTGAGGCTCCTGCAGACCTCCAGCCAGCTCACAGCCCCCACAGTGAGTGGTTTTCCACCAAACACCCACATACAGTTATTCAGCACCTTCTCTGAGAATATCCCACTCTCACAATGGGAGAATTTACATTCTGGAAATTGGCAAACACTACAGAGCAGGGATGGATTTTTGTTCTTCTGAAGGCCTGGACTTAAGAAAATGATGACATAATGGAATGAATGTACCCTAGATTTAAACACGTGAAGTGTTTTGGTCCATGACAATGAGTAGGCCACAAAAATCTGAAGTAGTTAATGGAGAAACAGCCTTTAGTAGTACCATGACAACATAAAGAAAAATGTCACACCATGTAAGAATGAGAAAAATTTTAACATTTACCTTTGTTGTGTGCATGGCTAATTTGTAATTGAAAAGGGAACTAGCCATAATCACATCAAAGAAAACAGGCAAACGGTACAAACAGAAATTGTACCAAAGAACACATACAGGCGGTAAATAAACACAAGAAAAAATGCTGAAAGTAAATCCTTAGGAAATGCAATTACAACATAGCACTACGCACATACTAAAAGGACTGTCATTAGACGCCCTATGAAGTACTGGCAGGGACTGGACATATTGGAGCTCTCATACATGCCTGGTGGGAATGAAATAGTGAACAGCTCAGATCCCACTTTGGCCCTTTCATGAAACTGTTAAACACTCACATACAGGTGACTTAGCCACTGTGCTTCTGAGTTTTAACAGAGGAGAAATGAAACCTCTACCCGCATTAAGAATACATACAGAGGGGTAAATATGCAAAAGTCAAAAACTGGAAATAACCCACATGCTCCAAACAGATGAAGAGATCAACAGTGGTACACACCCAGAGAAGAAAACAGTACTGTTGATGGAAAGGGACATACGTGCAAAACCACCTCCAGCCCTCAGGCCAACGAAAAAGGCTGAGAAGTCCACCTAGAGGAGAAATGTTTATTTATGGACTTTGGGGCAGAAGACTATCTTGAGCAACCATAACATGAGTAGGACTCCGCACCACCACCTCCAGAAAGATCTGCTTTTTTAGCCCTAGAGGCTAGGGAGTACCTGGGAGACACCCTGGGAAGAGGATGTTTCAGAACAGGTGTCTGCCACAGTCCTTTAGGATACCAACAAGAACGCTGACTGGGCAGGGTCACAAAAGCTACATTCCTGGAGGATGAATTCTCCCTTGTCTTTACCTTTTTCCTGCCTTCACTTGTCACAACGGCCTTGACATGTTAGCACCACAGAGGATAGAAGAATTCAGAGACTTTGGGATTATTTTATGACAAGGACCTCTGTCACACAGGATACGTGTGTCTGAAAGTGGAGAATTTCTGTGCACACTGATCCTGCCCAGCCAGTCACTACAACATCTGTGGATACACTTTTTTAAGAGATACACACCACCTAGGTGGCTGGTGTCTCCTCTGCTCCCTAATTGCCCAATCATCCAGATTACCAATTACAGTTCCCCTGCCCGTGGTGTTACAAGTGAATACTGCACACCAGGTCACAAGGCTCCGTTGAAGGATCTGGGGTAGAGATTCCACTCAACAGCGCCTGGCATCCTGTGCTATCAGCTGTGGAGAAGCAAAATATTCCTGTTGTTTCCACAGCACTGGAATGGTCTCAACTGCTCCCTCTTCATGGTGACCTCTGAGCACACAAAACTTGCTAGCATCCAGACCACAAAACCCAG